CGAAGTCGGAAACATATGTGTGCAAAATTTCAGCTCAGTCGGTTCACGTGCAAAAGAGACTATAAAAAAACGTACGGTCAGGATCTCATAAATTTTGACATTTATGTATAGAAGACTAGCTGGCGTACGCGGTCCCGCCCGGAGGGCTCAAGGTGGCCCGGCAAAGTATCTGTTTCAAAACGTCTTATGCTCACCACTCCTCCATTTCACAATTCTTCTCCTGCTTTAGCTCCGAGTTTGAATTGCAGCGCTCCCGTTGTACCCATGGTGAAATTGTTTTTTCTTGACCGCCTCGCTTCATGGCACCACATCCCCCTCACCGCAAAATGTGAATGATCTCTATCGCCTCTTACCCTTGATTGGGGACATGATTGATGGACCTTCGTTTTCCTTGACGTAAGTAAACAAATCAATAAATCGATAGAAGGACCCAGTGAATCGCCGCGAAAAGTGGCCCATCAGCTGCGCAGGGGTCGAAAACATGTGTGCAAAGTTTCAGCTGAATCGGTTGAGCGGCGCGCGTTTCTATAACGCACATGGCCTCCAAACTGACAAGTTTTGAGTTTTATCAGTTTAGAGATGTACAGCTCAGCTCGGCAGCTTCCTACTTCACTTCATTCTACAGGGTGCGGCAAAAGTCTGGGAGCCTAGTACTTTTTCGTACAAAATAAGAAGGGAAGTACCTAGAAACGAAAAATTTGGCGCACACATAATTCGAATCATTGCAAATACAGCCCAGTTCTTGAATTGCAAAACTGCCTCCTTTGGCTTCCACGCAGCCCTACAAAATCTTGGCAAGTCCACCTGTCATGGCACGCAGGTACTCGTAATGGAATTCGCCCCACGCCTTCACAAAAATTGCTTCCTTTACCTTGGCAAATGCGCAGCATGATAGAGCAAACTTTTGTCTACAACATACTTCCAAAAGAATTTTTTGCATTGCTTAGGAACAAAAATATTGAATTTTCAATTAGAAGCGTGTGTACGTTGCATACCGGAATTTTGGCTACAATTGCGCGAATAAAAACTTAAAAATACCGTATAAAAAGTATAAAAAGTGTTCCCATGGCCGAATTTCAATAGATTCTAATTTAGAAGACGTATGCAAAAAATACAGCCTTGATCCGAGTGCCTGTTGAGCATTCTATAGCTTTTAAATTTGTTCTGAAGACGGATTTGCACTGGCACGTAGGTAACATTCGTAAACTTTTATTTTCCGTTCATGCAAGAACAGCTCCTAGCAAAAGCAGAACTAGGATGCAATAGCGCAAAGCCTCTTCTATGTTGTGTGCATCGAAGTTTTGTAAAATATTAACAGCATCTCTAGCTACAGCAAAAACTGTAAATACCAAAAATTCTGGTTTTTTCGCTTTGCAAAAGTACTAGTTTGGTAATTTCTATTAAACACATGGCAGCCAATTCAGCCAAATAAAGTGTATTCTGTAGAGGACGACCGCAGCATTATGTGACATAATATTGAGATCAAAACCATCAGTATCTTTGTAATTGCAGTACTGCAAAGTTAGGCTCCCAGACTTTTGCCGCACCCTGCAATATTTTTGTGCTGAGATTTGGTCATCTGATTTCGGACAACTATGTGCGGCAAGCAATGCTTGCTTGGAATTTTTTTGTAGCGGTAACTTTTAAACTCACTAATACAGAGTGTCCCAAAAGTAAGTACACACTTTTCAATAGTTGATAACTCTCTTCCCATTGTGTCTTCTTTCGCCATTTAGGCAGCATTCTGTGGAGGAGCCTTCAACTTAGATTTACGGTAAGAGCGAATCACCGACCGATCTTTGTTACTGTAGGAAAACTGTAGAAACTTCGACAAGGATTTTAGGCCGTTGGAAGCCATATTCTGCCTTGGAACAAAACCAAGCAAGCTAAAAACTCTTATACTAAGGTGATGAAAGTTGCTGATTTTGAATATGAAATTTCCACTTTACTATGATGCTTCTTTTTTATCCCAGGGAAACCGTAATATCCAAATTCTCAATATCTGTCAGAAATGTGATTACACCGTCAAAAAAGCTGAAAACACTCATAAAAAGTTGTGCAGTGGAATCAGCGTGCGCGAAAACCCTAATACACTATTTTCAGATTTTTTGGAAAAAAATTTTGTTTAACATATTTCACAATAGTTCTACTCGCTGGAAGTTCCTACCGTAATCCTACAGTGATGAAGAGCGGTCGATGACTTGCTCCATACAGCAAATCTAAGTTGAAGCCTCCTCTACAGAATGGTACTTGAATGACAGAAAAACACCCATTGGGAAGAGAGATATTGACGATTGAAAAGTGTGTACTTACTTTTGGGACACCCTGTATGTAATTATATTGTAACGCGGGACAACTTCAGCTTCTGCTGGCTACCCTAACGAGTGCTTTACCTTGCGGAAGAACAAAATGGGAATTCGCTATATTTTAGACAAAGGACCTGATGACTGGATGCTACAAGGTGCTCCGAATACAGCTTTAAACAATATTTATAACTTTGATAGAGGACAAGCTCCCGATGGTTTCTCCAACGCCGCAATGAGCTTGATCATTGACAGTAACTAGATGTTTATATTATTGATGAGCTTTCACCCTTTTCAGGATTCAAGTAGTAACATATAGCTTTATGCTGCAGTTAATCAGTGGAATGCTCACAATTTATGGTATCCGACAAGGGATCCCCATGCTACATATCTAACAATGTCTCATAGCTGACGGGATCAGTACAAAATTGAGCATATATTTCTAATCAGCTATTTAAATTCTGACTGTCAAGCGTAAGAACCAAATTTTAATTCCTATTAAACAGCTCTGTAAGTTGTAGCCCTCTTGCCCACATCAGTACTGATTGAAAAAAGTGTTGCCTGCGATAATGCAATTCTTTAGGAAACTGTGCTGTAAATTTCTAAATTGCCGCAGTTATTGAATTAATCGCTAATAAGTTTTTTGCTTCTGGAACTATCTCGGACGTTTGAGTATTGTGATGCAGGGCTTGCTTCTTACAAGGGAAGTGTGTTTGGTCGAAGTGGCCTTTCCAGTTGGGACCCATACTGCTTTGAAGAGCATTGAGCGGTGATTCCAAATCTGCCTTCCAAATCTGCTCAGCGCCTCTGGACGCCGAGTTATGACCGTTTTTAAGAGCGAAAAATGAATGCAAAATTTAGGTAAAATCGATTATTACAATCTTTCCAGCGCTCAGATAAAGCAATGCAGTACTCTGCGTTGATACCACTCGCTT